TAGTTGTTGTGTGTACAATTTCTTCATTTATGAAGTGTGATGGTGTCTGGATATCTTGTTGAGTAAGATTCCTAGTTCCATTGAGGTTTTCATTGTGTATGACTGTAGAGTTTAAACTATTATTTTGTGTATCGGGTAAAAATGTATTATAGTTTAATGGTGTTGCATCAATTGTTAATGGTATTACTCTTACATAATCTCTTATGTAAGATATTGTACTTATTGCTTGACTTGAGATTGATTGTGGGAAGCTTATAAATGCTGGATGAGACCATTCGGGGTCCCAAACATAATCTGATTGTTCTGTGATAGCTGTATCATCGTTCGAGTTTTGGGGTCTAAAATTTTTTCTTGCTTGTGCAATTAAATCAATATTGTGTGTAAAATAATCTATTATGAACCATGCTAAAATTTTTTGTAAATCGTGTTTGGTATGTTGTGAAACGTCGTCTTTCGTGAAATTTTCTTTAATGATGTTTAAATAACTAGAGAGTAGTGTGATTTCATGTCGTACTCTTAAATGTTTAGATGTTTCTGTCGGTGAGACATTTGTTAATGGGAGTTCATTTTCTAATATCGAAATATAACTATATATTAGTGCGAAAACTTCATTGGTGAAAATGGAGTTTGCTCTTTGTGAGTTATGGTATTGTATGCTTTTTATATATTCTGAAAAAACTTTTGAAAATTCTAAATCAAGGTCGTCTGTTTGAATAGTGTATGTTCTATTATTATGGTTTGGGGAAGTGAATTCTATAGAGTAGATTCCATATTGTTGTGTTATGTTGCATATATCTTTTAGATAGTGATCTATGATTTGTCTTTTGATTTTTACATCGGGGAACTCTGTTTTACATGGACTGATTCCGGGTTCAAATAAATTTACGAGTAAATTTTGACAAAATATGTGTTGTCCTCTATCAGTATCTGCATCTACTATAAAAGGAAAGATTTCATCATCATCTGGAGTTTCGTCACCTGGGGTGTGCGTTGAACTCATTTTTTCGTTCGATGACTGTTAATATGTAATTATTAATGTGTCGAATTGGTTGATTCCAGTTGTATAGATGTACTGGTTTGTGTTTATACTGCTTTTTTATTCTTCTTTTTCCTCTTTGTGATGAATTTGAAGTTGTTTCTGAGTCAGAAAAATATAATTGATCGTGTTGTGGGTAATTTTTATCTATTGATTCTTTTAGTTTGTAGAGTTCGTCTAAACTGTTGGTTTCTGATTCTGAAAATGCGTTTCGATTTTTTGAAAATCTTTTTCGTGTTATTTGTCTTTGTTTAGTGATTATTTTTCTCTTTAGTGTTTGTCGTTTTGTTCGAATGTATCCAACTGTTTGTGTATGAGGTGTGATTACAAGGTCGTATTTTTTGTTATCTATTTCACAATTGTGTAAAACGATTGTTTGTTCATTCCCTAGGTTTTTAAATGACATAAGGTTTAGGATGACGGGTGCAAAAGGTTGTTAAATGATTTCTATTTTCCTAAACTGTTAGTTCTTACGATTTTTTGGTTAGCTTAACCTGGGTCTATTTGTTTAGGGTTGGAGAGAAAAGTATATCGATTCCGAAGAATGATTTTTACTTTCTCGTGACTAGTATAAGCTAAGGTGTTAACTTACTTAATCTTACTTAGGGGTAGTGATTGTGTTCAAGGGTTGGAGAATAGTAAATCGATCCACAAGGTTCAGGTATAATTAGAACGCGAGTAGTTCGTTAGATACTATTTTAAACTTACTAAGTCTAAGATTTATCCTGGGTCTGGTGAGAGGGGGGATCAAGTGAAGGATGAATAACCGAAGTTCTTCACTGTTTATCCTAATTTGAATGATTAGTTTTGTTTAAAAATTTCTATTAGTCTTGGGTCTTTAGAAAGGGTTGGGTAGTGAATCGACGTTTGAGGTCGTTAGACACTAATTAAGTGGGTGGGGGAGAACAAAGTTGTTCTGTTTGATCCAAGGATAAGCCTTGATGATCAAATTTAAAATGTAATGAAGTAGAAAATGATTTAAGATCCAAGGATAAGCCTTGATGATCTGGTTTTAAAATTAAGTGACTTTAAGTTTTAATGAGGTTTTAAATTTGTGTAAAGGAAAGATTTAGTATTTTATGATATTAGTGAGTTGATGATTGCTGTTATGTTTTAGGTGATGAAGCTGGAACAACAGGATGATTTATGATTACTAACCATTTATTGTCATGCTACTAATTTTTATTTTTATTTTCCAATAAATATTTTTCAAACATGTTTTGTATAATACTGCAGAATTTTAGGAAAACGATCTTAGATCTTTTTATCAATCGTTATTGTATAATATTAATTTTGTTTAGCGCCTGAAATGATTTTGAAGATTTACTTCAAGGTTTTATGTTTGCAAATGGAAATCTAAATTCATTGCAAGTAGTATTCGAAATATAAAAGTTTGTTCTGGCTTTTGCCGAACTATCATGTAACTATACGGCAAGTTTCTACTTTGTCGTATGTCGTCTTTGGTTCGATGTCTTCTTCCAATTCCGGGTAGTTCTATTATGGTTCGGAATATTGGCTCGGATCTATTGAGTCGGAGAGACATTTCAATTAAATTATTGTCGTATAACATTTTGTAAATGTTTTTGTCTAATTTCTAATCTAATTTTGGTTAATTCTAATCTAATAAGGTCTTGTTCGAGACTTATGGTCGCACCAGATGAGTTAGGACTGGAGTGTAACTCATAGAGTAATTTCGGATAGGGTACACCGTCTGCTCGTCACGCTATCTTATTTTCGGCCGGATAGATTCGTGCAACTTCTTAGTCTAATACCGATCCTAATCTTACTCTTATACTATCTAGTCTCAGGTTGTTTAACTAGTCTCTGCTAGGCTCAATAGATCTAGGGTATACTGGTTTATTGCGGCTGCTGAAGTGCTCGGGAGAGTCCAACTAATTTCTAAGTTAAATTCAAATCTCTCTGGTGCTGAAATTACAAGTAACTTCAGCACTTACAAATAAGTGGGTTGTTAGTTAGATGGATCATGATTGGTTAATATTAAATACTTTACATTGGTAAAACATTTAATTTATCCAATCATAAAATATAGTTTAGATCAGGTTCCACATATTTATTTCACTGCACTATTCACTAATTTACAAAGATATAGATTGAGAGGTCGCCAATAAGTTGCAATAGCCTGTTTTTGGGCACTGTTTGAGAATTGCAACATTTCTGCTTTTTATTCCTCTATAACTATAGATAGAGAACCGTTTATTCAGAAATTGACACACTTGAAAAAGCAGTGATAGCCGTTTGCCATGCTCAAAAAACTAAAATTACATTAAGAAACAATTTTTTTTTCAAAAGTAATTTTTATTTTAACTTCTGTTTCTTCTTGTTTCATCAGAAGGGTCGAAACTCAGTTTCATAAATTGAATACGATAAAAAAAAGAAATTGAGAAATTTGTTTTTTGTTATGTTATAATAGAACCTAAAAAACGGCCAAAAACGTTTTAAATTGATGCAAAATTTGACACTAATAACTTCTTTTGAGCTAAATTTGTTACAGTATATAGCAAATCACGCTATAGTTACTTCCCCGAAGTCACAACCCAGTTACTCCGAAGTTACGAAGTTACTCCGCTATAGTTACCCTCTACTTCAGCCAGTATGATTTTATGTACAATTTTTATAACTCTTGAGTTGCTTTCAATTAGCACTATGTAAGTCAACTCTGTTTTAAACGCGTGAATGAGAGATAATTTTTCTAACTAATCGAAATGAAATTGTTTTTGATATGCTAGAGGCATCATGTGAAATAAGACTGGCTTTTCAGGCCTCGATTAGTACACCTAATTGGAATACTCCTGTACTGATAAAAAGGACTGAATTTCAAACAAATTATCGGTATTAAAAACGGGTCAAATTGTTGTGGGGTTATCTCGTTACGGGGTTATAAAGTAGGGGGTGTAAATTCTCTCGGATTTTGTTTCAAACTCGACTACCAAATTTTCAAGTTATGAGCCCTTTTGTTTGTTTTCTGTTGTAATTTTTGTTAAATTTTTGTTTATTTTGTTTTTTTTATACCGATTTTTCAAGCTATGAGCCTTTTCATTTGTTTTTTTTGTAATATTTTGTTTACGCCACAATTGGAAAGTTCAATGACGTTAGTTCGAAATCAATTGATATAAATGTAACAATTTTAACCTCTCGAATGAAGTTAGCAATTGAAGTTAGCAAATTAACTTGATTTTTGTTCTGGAGATCTGGAAATCATTACAGGAATGAATAAAATCATAGTTTGTGCGGTAACTCTTTTTTCTTTAAATGAAGATTTTTTTCTTTTTTCTTTTTAAATAAATTGTAAAAATCGCTAAATTACAAATGAAAAACAAGAAAGCTAACTGCTTGTCAATTTCAAGCGTAGTTTGGTACTTAAGCGAAGTTTTTTGGATTCACTTGAAAAGTAAGGCACTTAAGCATTGCTCATGTAAAAACATTGACCGTTTATAAGTACGTGCCTATGAAAACAGATCCTCGGTTGAATAATTATGGTTTTATAAGCTAAAACGGTCGGAATTCTCTTGTACTTTTCAAAAGCGGCGTTCCGTTAGCTTTTCCGAATGTTATTTTGCAAGGTTCTTGTATAAATCATTATTAAAAACTATTCGTCTTAAGTAATTTGCTTAAATAAATTTTTTTTGCTATTTTTGTTATTTAAAGCGATTATCTTGAAAGACGCGTTGAATCAATCGTTGTGAAGAATGTCGTTCTCCTAGAAGATTTTTGAATAGAGTGTTGATACCCATCTTTGTTAAGTTGAGCAACAAAAATTTTGATGATTTATTGTTTTAAATCAATTAAAGCACCTACAATTAATTAGATTAATCAAACTGTTTATTTGAAAGACAATTTGTCAGAAAATTCTCGAAAATACGCAAAGATACTTGGTGAGAATAATTCGAAATTCAGGATGAAGAATTATGATTTTTTTCTGATTTATTTCTTAGGCTCGACTTACTCCGTGCAGCTTACGCATCTGTCATATTCTAGAAACACAACAAGACTGTGCCCTCATGGAAATTTATCAACTCTTCTGAGGTCAATCAAGAGTGCTAACTTGAATAATGATTCTATCAGGAGAAAAAAGAAATGCGAAAAATTCAATGGTATATGGAAAAAAAACTTGGATAGCAAACTTTAAAACTTTAGGTATGTCTTATTTTAATATTTTCTCATATGAAATGAAAGATGACTTGACTTACTGTCTTTGTTGTAGCTCTCTCCAGCAAGGAGTCTCGTGAAGTCTTTTGCTGAGTCATCAAGTTGTTGTTGTATGTACCCACAGAACTTGTTCACGTCTTCACCCATCAGTTTGCATTCTTTCTGATACTCTTTAGATTTCCGGGTACATGCCTGAGAAATACCATCACAATCAGATCACTGATCAACGAGTAAAAAAAAACAGCCTAATAGACTGTTCAGCTTTTTATGATACTAATATAAGTTCATATTTTTATTGTCTTCATCTATGTTTCCACGTGAGAAAATTTTTGAACTATTACATTTAATGGAGTGCAAGATAATGTGCTGGTGAAAACGGGACTTCAAGAAAGAGTGATTTGGGGTGTTTTCGAAGAGGAGGACGTCGAACTCCATTTAAGTTGCACCAGCAAAAAAGTGTTCTATTGTTTAAAAAAAATACAGTTAATTGCGTTTAAATGGAAATGTTTCAAGAACTGAGATTAAAATCGCTGTCTTAAAAATCAGTGGCAAATGAAAACAAGATTTGTGAATTTTTGCTGTGCAGAAGGTTCCGACACAGTTATCGTTGAAACTCTTTTGCTCCTGTTTCAATGATTTCATTGTAAGTGGTGCTGTAGAGGGACTAAAAAACTTCGTAGGACAATAAAATACAATTGATGACATCTATTTTTTATTAAACGAAAGATGAACAAATAAAAATGATTTTTTTTCAGAAACATGTACACTATTCTATTCTAAATTGCTTTAAAAAACTGGAATTTTTTGTGCCAGTAAAGCTCTCAATAAAGCTCCACGGGCAATTGTTTTCAAAGCGATCAGTTTTGCGCTCGAAAAATTCATTAAACGTTTTTTTTGCTTTTTCGCTCTTGGACTTGCTCTAAATTGTACTAAAAAGTTAAGTTTCGCAACCACTTTTTCTTTCACATTTCTTTTCTTGATCCAATGATGACTGAAAAAGCTTCAATAAGATATATCTCTCTGAACTATCTGCGGTTTATTAGCGCTGCTTGTTTTTGCAATAAAAAAATCATATGATGGAAAACTCCCAAATTCAAGATTCTTTCTCATTTAGTTCACAAATAAAAAACTATTTTACCCACTCTGAATACAAGGATAGCCGGTTGCTGTTCAAGTTTCTAGGCATTTGCAGCACAGAATGTTTCAACCATGTTCATAATAAATTATGAAGGGTTTTTTCGTTTTGTTTCTTCGAATTAGTGTCGTTTTTTGCTAGCTGTGCGATTTGAGAACCATGCAAATGCGTAGAAAATTAGTTAGCTAGGCACAACTGAAAACATTGTTTTCAAAAATTATAGACCAACAAAAAAAAACAAAAAATTGTAAAACAGTTTATCTCTAATTTTTGCACATAAACTATGAATTTTTGAAAAAAATCTTCAGTTCAAAGAAAACTACAGAAATAAACTTAAAAAATAGTTTTATTTTTGTTAAAAGTAAATTTTCCCAGCTTAAAAACCTACATAAAATGTAAGTTTTCATATAATGAACCTTGCTCGATCGCTTTACTCTCGAAAAACTGAGGTATAAAAAATTATTCTAAAAATGTTGAATCTATTTTTCTTGACACTAGGACAGTATTTCAATTTTCGACTCTTTTCGATTTTTCCGGTACCTGCGTTTGCTTCGAAAACAAAAATAAAAATTTGAAGCACACCTAAAAACAAGGTTTTCTTCACGTTTTGCAATGTTGTGAATATCAAGAACTGCTGATTGTTTGAAGAAGTGTTAAAAAAGAATGCTTCAGACAAGAGATATTTCAAAAGAAAAAAATTGTTTTTTTTTCCTGGTTTCTTTGATTTATAGTACCGACTGTTGAAGGTTAGATTGAACATTGTATTTGGGTGTGTTTGCTGCACAAAAATCCATTTACTTAAAATGTTTTGTGACGGCTCAAACTTTATTTATAATAATTGATTTTTAATTTAGGTTTGTTTTTTTTCTCAATAATTTTTTAAACAATCTGAGATTGTTTTGAATTTTTTTCTTCAAAATTTCGATTATTATATATTTTTTTCATAATAGATTTTTCGGTTAATAGGGATGCGGTCGGAACTTTCTGTACTGCTAGCATATCGGTGTCAGGACTATTTGCCCCAAGTCAATTAGCCCTATGCCATTTTGTCCTATACTAACTTGCCCTACATGGCAACTTGTCCTATGCCAACTTGCCCCACAAGACATTTTGTCCTATGCTTTTTTGTCCCATACTTAACACTTTTACTTGATTCCTTGATGTTCGAATTGAGGACCAGCAAGTGCTAATGTAGACATGACTCGTTTTGAGATAACAAAAGACTCTAATCGAAAATTATTGAAGCTGAGCCTGGAAAACCATTATTTTTGTTAATTACACAACAAAATTTGACAATAATCCACAATTAGCGCCATTGAAACAAAAAGAAACACGGCTATTCTTTCATTTTGCTTCATTGTTTACCATATTGTTCTTTAAAATCCAACATAAATACTATGAGTCAACTTACGTGCGGAACATCTCACGAAAAAAAACGAACGCTTATTATTGACGGACACGATTTCACAAAAAAGCGACATAAACTACTGAGCACTGGAGATGCGCAAGATACAGTTCACACAAATGCCGCATGCTCGCAGTCACAGCAGGAGATGAACTCGTATCAACAAAAAATGGTCACAGCCACGATGTTAGACCTGGGAAAGTTGAGGCAAACCAGATTTCTTGATAATGAGTGTTGTGCACTATTAACTATGCTATAGGAGCTTACAAGATCAGCAATCAACCTTTTGAAATGTTTAATTCGACATGAAAGTTGCATTGAAGTTTTGCCGCTTTCATTTTGTTCATGCATGCTTTGAACTCATTTTGATTCAGCACATGTTTTAATGATTCCGCATTTTGTTTCAAGCTGAATTGTTCAATAAATTTCATCTTTATGCCGACATTATGTTCTACGAGGATATCAAAGAATCTGGGGCATGTTTCCTTTTTTTATTATCTGGGACAAGATGGCATTGGACAAGTTGTCATCTGGGGCAAGTTGGAATCGGACAAGTTGGGCTGGGACAAGTTGACTTGGGGCAAATTGCCATGTAACCAGCATATCAACTGCTTATCCACAACAACTGGTTAGACAATCAGAACCCATGTTACAGCAGCTAGTTAGTTAATTAATAATGGCCTTGAGAATTTGGAAAAGGTTAGTTTTCAATTGTCCTGTACTAACTTCAAGATTCCGCAATCTTTGGCGCAAGGATTTGCGTGTGTTGGTAATGTTTCTGTTCTCTTAACAGTTGCAAATTATCTCCAGGGAAAGGGGTGAAATTTCATAAAACCACAATTTTGTGACTTTTTTTTTAGGTCGAACGAATTGATTTTCCAAGTTCTCTATTATGCCGTTTTTGGAAAAACTTGACAAAAAATGAGTTTGTGGAGCGTTTTTTAAATATTGTATATATTGGCGCGCAGAGAGCCTCTTTAGGGGTGATCGATCAAAACTGGATATCCTAAAATAGTAGCAAAAAGATCCCATCGTTGGCTAGGGGGTCGAAACTCCGAGAGGGAAGGGTGATTCCACACCCTTCATTCATATCTCTAAAATCGTCCCCCAAAAAATTCATCAGGAAAGGGCGTTTTTTTTCCTGGTTTCTTTTATTTATTATTTTGACTGTCGAAGATTAGATTGAACTTTGTATTTGGGTATTTTGCTGCATGAAAATCAATTCACAGAAAACTTTTGTACAAGCTCAAATTTGCTAGAAAAAAATCACTACAAATAAAATAACTAATTGCATTCTCGCAACTCTAATTTCCGAACTGCTTCATTTATTCTTTTTCTCGACGATACAAAGTTTCTAGGAAGATTACTTGCAGCTCGAATTAGGCCGTAAGGGCTTTGAAATGATATATATTAATCAACCCACTCGGAAATTTATACATGGAACCTCGGTTTAGGTGGAAAAAAAACACAGTCAAATACATTAATTGACCTTGCCCCAGTTGGTAACAACAACTTCGAACTAACAGTTTTTTTTCGCCAAAGTTTTCATGCATTATCCAGAAATTTGTGGAAGATCCATATATTGCTTGATTTTTTTCGGATAGCAATCAAAAGTCGGATAATGGCGTTAGTTTTTTAACGACCCGAAAAAAACTAACTTGTGGAAAAATTTCAAAAAATTGTACAATAATACTTATTTTTACAATTTTTGCAACCGATATTTTTGTTTCCGATATTCAGATTTTTCTTGTGAATAGTTCGGTCTTCCCTGTGTATCTACCTCTTCATATTCGACCAGTTCGTTCTTAATCTGCTCCACGGCATTCGCAGTCTGGTTGATGATGTCGACCACAGTGCCCACCGGGTCTTCATAGATTTCCTTCAGACCCTCCAGTTTGGCGATTGAGTGTTGCAGTTGCTCCTCTAATCCTGCCAAGGGGGAGGTGTACAGTTCGAGCACTTGAAGAGACTGGTTGTAAGCTAACTCTGAGTGGCACGCCATCGACTTGCCCACCTAAAATTTTATTAACGCTTCAAAACGTAATCTTCGTGAAGATGCTGGTTAAGTAGTTCAGGAGACTGGGAGAGCCTTAACAAGTACTTTGCTTGATTTAGAAAAAGGCGAATCAGTTGTAGTTAAGTCAAAATTCACCGCCTAAAAATTTATCTGCCTTCAGGGGCGGATCTAGGATTTTCGCGAGGGGTGGGGGCGGATTTTCAAAAAAATTTTGAAAATTTTGACGACTTTTTTTAGGTCGGCCAAATTGATATTCCGAGCTCTACTAAAGTACTAAAAAGACGCTGTTTTGGCTAAAATTTGTGCGCCGCATGCAAATTTTTGAAAATCAGGTCAAAAAAAGCCGTTTTTGGGGACTTTTGGAAAATTTTGACAAAAGTGCCCAAAAAGTTAGTATATAAAGTATAGGGCAAAAAGTTAGTATAGGGGCGCGCGCTGTCCCTCAAAGTTAGTGTATATTGGCGCCACAGGCGCCTTTAGAAAAATTTTAGGGTCGGTCGGCCAAAAATGGATTTCTTAAAAAGTACCAAAGGGGGGACCTTTTGTGTCGGCTGGGGGTCAAATCCCCCCCCTCCTAAATCCGCCCCATATTGGTTTGAAAATACGCGCGAAACAATAAATATAATACTTGGGAACTTCGTATCCATAAAATTTGGTAGCATTTCAAAGGGTTACGTTTAACAATTATAAGGTGAGTGCGCGGGAGTTCTTTACTTTCACTAGACACAAAGGGTCCTCTTTTAGTATCATTCCACGACATTTGATTTGGCCGATTGACCCTTGAAGTGTTCTTGCGGTGCCTTTAATTCCAGCATCAACTAAAGTGTATTATTCCTGAAAGCTTTCCAAAAGTGATGAAAAATGCAGATTCTTTTGGAGCCCCTCAATTAGTTTAGAGGGAAAAGATCTTTTTTGGAAACTAATTGTGCCAAAATAAGGGTTTTGTAGAGCTTTCGAAGAGCTCGAAAAACCGCTCTGGTTCACTTAAAACTGGTCGTGGAGAATTCTCGATAAGTGTCTTGATCAAATCCACCCCTCAAGTTTGGACTTTGCCATCAAACATTTTAAGCATTATTTCATAAAAAAAGTTTAATCAAGTATCTCAGGTTCAAAATTTTAGGCAAAGGCGAAGCAGAGCTTCGCAAAACTTGCAATACAACACTAACTTAAAAAATAAGAAAACGAAAAAATAAAATGCAAAAATTTTGAAAAAAAACGATGAACTAAAATGTTCGTGTCTCGATAAAAAAAAATAGAAGCCCAGCTAAAAGCTGGGGACGCTGTTTGATATTATAGAAATTAGTTATTTTGATGCGGGATGAAATGGGTAACTTCAAAAATTGGACTTTGCCCAAAACCTTAGTTGTTTCTCTACTGAACTAATTGAGACCAAATATTTTTGAGTGAGAAAAACTTTTTGGAATTTTTCCAAAGACCCAAATTTTCGATGAAAAATTATCAAAGAGTGGCTCGCAACTTTTCTAGAAATTATCGCAACTGGGTTTTTCGATTGAACCCTTCATCTCAGATTTGAGATGCTTGTTTCTAAAAAGTCAAAATCAAAAACTTGACTTTCCGAAATTCATAACTTTTTTTCTGCAACATGAAGGAAGTAACCGCTTGAGCAAAGATAACTCCCCAAACCAAATTTCTCGATTGAACAGTTAACTTAAAAATTGGCAAGGTGGTTTTTGAGAAAAGTCAAAAAGTTTCCAGTCAACAGTCAATGAATCAAAAACTTAACTTTTTCCAACAATCGAACCCTGTGTTAAAAACTTTTTGGTGTCGTTCATGCAGAGAAGAAATTTCACCTATCCTATTGTTTCCATTCGATGCAAAAACTCGAGATTGGGGAGGGTAGTATTCGAGAAAAAAGAAAAAAAAATTCCAAAAATGGTCACAAATCAAAAATGTGACTTTTAGGAGAATTTTGTTTAATAAAGTGGGTGTAACCGGACAAGCCAAATCTTTTGGTTTTTTGAATTGAATCCAAAATCTCAAAATTGGGCAGGCAGTTTCTGAGAAAAGTCAAAAAGAATCATAAAAATGATCAAGAATTCGAATGTTTGAATTTTCCGAGGGCCAGAACTTTATGTGTAAACAGTTTGAGTGTAGCTTCTTATGCAGGGGAGCTTCCTACAACCCATTCATTGAACCCAAATCAGAGATTTGGGAGATTAGTTTTCAGAAAACGCATAAATCCTAGAATATGGGTAAATTATTCCTCCCGCAGAGTTTTTCGAAGGCTGTAGACAGTAGGGTAAAGAACAAAGATACTACAGGACTATGCAGACACTCAGAGGAATGGCCGGTCTTCCCATTGATACATTTTTTGAGATTAGAAAAGTTAGTTTTGTATCAAAATACAATTTTTGCAAAAAATGAACAAAATTTCGAAAGCGTCAAAAACTAAATTAGAAATAAAAAACCCAATTCCACACATTTTCATAATAACTGATTTTGTCGGACCGGAAATTTTAAGCGTTCGAAACTACACAATAAAAGTTGACTAAGCCGAGGCAAAATAATCCGAAACCGTTTGGTCAATAAAACTTTTTTTTTAAATATTCAAAATCAACCTTGGTAAAATGACAAACTACAGAACTTTCAATTATAGTAAAAATGTACTTAGAGCCAAAACAAATTCAAGCTTCATAAAGTAAGAAAATACAAAATATTACCAAATAATACAGCTGCCATTTTAAAAAATGGAAAATAAACCGACGGAAACTAGGCCGAAAACTACGAATCCGAAAAAAATTATCATCTTCCAAGATATTTATTTGAAAAAATAATTAATGCCCGGAAAGTATTCCACCTATTTACTACATAATGCGGTAGTTTTATTTGAATTTTCAGAAATTGAGCATGTCTTGAAATTTACAATTCCTACAAAATTGACCATTCTGTGAACAAAGTTGTTTACGGGAAAAAATTTTAGTACCCGATTACAATACCCTTACTTATCGCAAGTGTAAAAATGTTGTACCGTTTATAGAATCTGTTTTACTTTTACTTAGTTACCTGTTCCATGTTGCTGAGGATGGCCTGAATGTGATGACTGAATATGAAGGAGAAGGCCAGAGACATGATCACAGTTTGACCCCTAGTCGCACACAGACTCGGCAACATCACTGCATAAACCGCCCTCGTTTTCCTAAGAACAGACGTGAAAGTTATAGTTATGGAAAAGTAATTATGGAAACCATTTACTGGAAACGAAAATTATGCGAGCAATTCGGCTCATTGTAGAAAATTTATAAGTTGGTTAGCACATAAGGACCAAAAATACAGTAAAATAAAATCCATTTTGTTTTATTGTGTTTCAAACACCCTATTAATTACCACAAGATTATTCGCGAAGAGAACCTCAAGATTCAAGACCACGTTGAGTAATTTCCGGGGAATTCAGTTTTAACCCTAATGAAAAACTACAAGAGATTTTTGATGAAATCAACTGAATTCCAACAACCATACGCAACTCTCAATTTACAGACAGCAATAAAACTTCATTTAAGGTCAACTTTACTGATTGACAAAGTCTGTCTAGGCATACTCGTAAAACTGCACTATATCAGTTATAAGTTAACCTTGAAACGACGAGGAGGCAAAAGGATACCAGAGTGAAACTGCCCGCAATGTATGCTGACTCATAGACGGTTAGATTCCCGCCCACGAACAGTGAGCCCATGATGACACCTCCGGTCATGACTGACATGAACACTGCGAAGGCCACTTTCAGACACATGTGTTCGCCGCCCTTTGAACTGCTGAGTTGCTGTGCGTGATGCTGAAATAGAAAAACTTCAGAAACTTTTGTTCCGAACATTTGAAAAATGGAGAGGAACTTAGTATTAGGGTGTTTTTTTTCCGCGCAAAATCAGATGCCATAAATAATCATCGGAGCGAAAAAGTTTGAACAGTGTCGAGAAAAATTAAAATCGGTTTGAAGTTTTTAATTTTTTGTCTAAATTCGAGCGAGTAAAGCGAGCAAGCATTATATGTTTTTTATGTTGAATCTATTATTTTTTGAAAAGAATGAATAGTATCAAGATTGAGGGGAGTTAAGTTACTCTGCGAGAATTTTATGAAACTCTTTGGGTACATTAGCTGAAATATTTGGCTATTGAAGGTTTCTTAGTCATTTGGGATAGCTCTTCAAATCAATTTGGCCGCCCTTGCAAAAAATGAATCAAATAAAAAAGACCATCCCTCATGTAAGCGTTAAGTCAAGCTCTAAAACTTCATTAAGATATTAAGCCATTGTCATTTAAGTATTCGTTATTTATTGAAGATGAAAGGACAATTAGTTCTCACCGCCATGCTTTCCTTGCTGAGTGTCTTGGAGAGGGAGCGAGTGATTGAGGACATGGAGTTACTCCTGTTGGCAGAGGATGGCTGAGGGGACAGAGATCTGTATGTTGCTCCATTCACATCCTTCTCTTTCTAGAATATTCCAGAAACGTTTGATCAAAATTTGAAAAGCAAGTAGCGCATTTTTGTCTCAAAAAAATCAGCAGTTGGATGGGAATTCCACGGTCTTTATAGAGGTTTTAAATTTTTTTGATTCTGTTAAAGAAGAAAAACACAGTTTCCAGACTTATCAATAGAGCATTTAATATTTCGGGTCTCAATATTGAGAAGAAGCTAATTCGATTAATTAATTTGAAATATTAAGAGAAAGAAGCTCAATTCTACGTGATATTATATTTTAAATCTATTTCTGACATTGGTTCAACATTAGATAAATGAAAATAGTTTTTAATTGTTGAATTATTAACTTACAGTGCCGGTTTTTGGGTAGCACACATCGCTTGAGAATCCGTCTTCAGTTCCACTGCAGGAAGTCAAATTGTCCCGGTGGTGAGGCATGAACAAATGACTTCCCCCTCCCCCTCCCGCGTCATCAGTTGAGTCCACCCCCGCCGACTGCTCACTAGTTGCCCCTCCAGCACTGTCTTCTATTTTCGGTGCCGAAACACTTCGCTGCAATTTTTCAAATTGTTTTGGTCTTCCTTGGATCTCATTAATGTCAATCGAACCAACAAATAACATCCAATAACCAGCTCATACTATAAAACGTTTACGCTTCTACTGAAGCGCGCAATGCACATTCAAAGAAACACAATTTTCAAGTCAAAATAATCCCAAAGCTCGAAACTACTTTTCATAAGCTAATTAGAAAACTGTGCTAAATTAGTTTTCTAGCATTACTGAATCACTTGAAAGAACAAAAAAATACTTCAAAACAATTGTATATGCCCAGGGCGACCTAGTTTCTGTAAGCGTTCAACAGCAATATTGATATAGCTTTTGAAAAAGGCAAGCTTTTAAATTTGCCATAGACCTAGATACATCAAAATCCCCGTCCCAAGCTTCTTTTTTCGCTAATAATGAAAGCACGCTTTTATGCAAACTTGAATATCTCACCTGGTATTTCTTGTACCTAGCACTGTTCGTCCTCACATGCTGCGGAGTATATGCTCTGTTCAGTGCTCGGAACTGTCTGTTCGCGCCCGATGCAGCTGCTGCCGCATCCGAGTCAGAGTCGGTGGAATAGTCGCTGAACACAATACCACTACCGACACCTTCTTCCGCTTTCAGTTTGGCCACAGGGCCTGAAAGTTTATTCAGTGCTGAATTATAGCAAATACGGGTATTGTGACAAAACGACTATTCTGGAATGATTTTTTTGTCAATTGATTCAAGTTACTTCACAGATCCCGTTGGGTTGTATTCGGAAACATAAAAACTTTGGAATAATTGTTTTCTGGTCATTTTTACGAGCTAATTAATGTTTCTGTATACTTTTTCTCTGTTTTTTATTTTATAAATTTTGTATTTTCTGGCTTCCGTAAATCTTCTTTCACAGCTATAATTGTAATGTCAATCAAGTAGGTAGACCAAATTAAACAAATTGTTGCTGGTCATGATACAAAAATAGCTCTGAAAAAAATTAAACGACTGATAAAAACACGACCAAAAGTATGCAATGTCTTCAAAAAATAATAAAACTGATTAAACTCCGGCTGAACAATTTGCAGCGTAATAGAAAAAATTCTAAACTTTTGGCAGAAGTCAAACGATTATGCGATCTAAATTCTCATATCCTCATGAGGATAATATCACAGGAATATCCTCATGACTTGTTGTTTCCCTGTCCTCTATATTTTGGTTTTTTGAAGTTTTATGCTTCTGGAAAACCATACCTGGACAACCTCATTGGTTACTGCTGTAAGAGCTCAGTCCGGTCTATGCTGACCATTTAACCCCAATCAGTTCTTTGGATGTTATGGGGGCTCATTTTCTACTGATAATATAGGGGCTGTGGGGGGATTGGACGCCGTTAATAGAGGCAGTAACCACAAAGTTTCTTAATTGAACCTGCTAGAATGCTCAATGCTCTAACCTGCAAGCAAGTTTTGAGAGTTTGCATCATCGAAAGCTTATAGGGGGTTAAAGTCAATATTCTTTTTCTGTCTAATTCCTTTCAATATTTTTCCAGCAATAATTTACTTGCGCACGAAAATAATTTTCAACAAGACCGCTCGTATCAGGGCGAAGCCCTGAATGTTCCGAGTGCCCCTTAAGGACTACGGAGCAGTAATATTATGAAAAAAGGTAATGAAAACAAAATGATTTTTTTAATTTAAAATTTTTTGTGAGAATCAGTCCCTCACACGCCATATAAAGCGCAAAGTGATAAACTTCGCTCCCAGTAACAAATCAATTATGACAGATAAGCTTCCTTCAACCAATTTGAAACGATTTCTAATACGGATAAAATCTCCGCTCACGCGTTAATAGCGCAATATATCGCGCGTTAATTGAGCCGAATTGGCCAAAATGGCTATCTTTAAACCCCCATAACTTTACGAAAAAAGATCACAGATGAAATATCAGGAGCTCAGGACAACAATACCTTTTGAATGATGTAAAAAATTCCCTCAAAAGTGGCTAATTAAACAGTCGAAGATTGTCTGAAGAAAAAACCCACCCCGAGCAAAAATCGTCCGTTACCTTCGTTACGAAAGTCGAAAAAATAATTCAAAGACTGTAAATTTGCAGCAGCAATGTCAAAAGATTTCGCACTAAAAATAATTTGACTTTAACAAGTTTTAATTGAGGGTTTAGCCCTAGCTTTTTCTTTTTCTCTTTTTTTTTCGTTAAAAATTTTCTTTATGTTCATGTTTTACTCTCGTTTCAACATAAAACAGTATCCAATATTAGTTATGCAATTTAAGTTATAAAAAAGTAAATTCATAATCATACTAGTGTTTGTTTGTGTAAAACCAAAAATTGACAAAAAATTCAAAATAGCTAATTATGCTAGTTATCATGATGTTCAAAATCTCCCAAAAAATTAATTTTTTTTTCAGAAACAAGTTCCAAAATATATATATATTTTTTCAATCTTCAAAAAAAGAACATCCTTAATGTTTGAAACAGTTCATATCTCTTGATCTTATTAGTTTTGGTTCTATGTGTTTTGAAAACAAAACTGCAATTATCAAACAGAAAAAAAATCTGTCGGATGCTACCAGCCTCTAACTTACTAAGCTTTGAATAAAAGTCATAATAAGTTTCTAAAAACTGAAAAACTTTTTTTATTTGTGTTTGAACAAAAGCAGAACCTTTTTACAAAAGAGATTTTCATCTACTACGACGAAATTTTTGACACAGATTAGATCGTTTTTTGTTAGTTTTATTCAAATTTTTTCATTTTTGTTTATTTTTACAAAACAAAAAAATTTTGGCTGCTATTAGCATGTAAACAATTGACATAGAGGCAAAACTGAGCTTCGCACCATTTGTGATACAACAAGTATAAAATTTAAACAGCAAGAAACTTTCGAACTATCTAAGAGTGCTTCGAAAGATCAAACTATAAAAATCATGTTTTCAGTGTTTAAATTTGATAAAAAAATTTTACAGTTCCAAGTGGAGTAAATCTCCACAATTTCAAAAATATTATCAAAAGTTTGTAGGAAACAAAATATTAGGTAAATAATTCGACAGCCAATAAGCTGAACTGAACCAAAATTGCTCGGCAAAAAATTGATGAAATACTTACGTTTACTGCCCAAATAGTATCCACAAAAGCCATAAAGGCAATGAATTCAAGTTAATATACATAATTCCGAAACTAAACTGAGAGCTCAATCAAACGCAGAAAAATTATCAGTAAAAATTTAATTTTGATGAATATTGAAAACAAACAATCTGTTAAAATGAATGAAGATATTTCTTAAAAAACATGCCAAAACAATAGAATTCAAATTAGCATCGGGAAAAAATTTAACTAGCGGTAATTAAAAAAAAACGTCAGCAGAAGCCCTTCATGCCAACATTTTTTAAAAAAAATGCTCATTAAATAAATTTGAGTACCCTTTCCCTTCAGAACACACAAGCACACAAAAGTTTATCAATTAGTTCAATAAAAAGCCACTAAGTAGATATAAACACAGAGGCAAAGCTTTTAGCAAACACGCTTCGAGTAGTAGAACATTAGAATTAGGCTTCGAATTGGTAAAAATTTGGCTACGTCTCGGATTCGAACCTGAGGCCGAAGGATTGAGTCTCACATATTAACCACTCAGTCGCGAACACTTATTAAATCACAAACACTAGCCAAAAAAACAGAAAACAGATGCTATGAGAACAGATTATGATTAAAGCAAAAATTCCAACAACTAAGTGAACACTTTTAATGAACTTTTATTTGCGAGTTAGGTTACAAAAAAAAGAAGATTCGTACTAAAACACTAACGCTCACAAGCTTGCTAGTGTATTAAAGCGAAGCAAATTATGCCGCAAGCAAAACTGTTCCAGCTTCAATTGAGGCAAGCTAATTGGTTTTACTAGTTCATTAACCACCCATAACTTAACAACCGATTTGATAAAGGCAGACAAAAATTTATAGTTTTTCTATTTATGTAACAAAATTCGTGTTGGTAAGTTAAGTGGTTTGGAAAAGGTAAATTTCGCCAAATTGCGATGGTTAATGCGCACTAAGCTTCTTGTTTTCCATTAATGAATGGACGGCAGTAACTACAACTACAAATGCAAATAAAAAAAAGCAGTTTTCACTAAAGGGGTTAGTCTGACAGACGTCAGTCGTGATAATTTTTCTAGTAAAATATTAAACTTTGCCAGTAAACGCGTTTATGAATCTTAGAGGTGTATATTCATGCATGCAGCGACAACTTGTCAGAAGCGTCAATTTGGCACACCAATAAGAATTAGCAACATTTAGGAAAGCTGCTGATAGGTCTTGCGCTTGCCAGAGCGAATGAACGAGTTCTTTCAGTTTTCTCGCAATGGAAATTTTACCTGGTAACCGATTATACGCCATTATTAACTCTATATTCAGACAAATTTTGGAGCGTGTATCAGGTTGATTTTGTGAGCGTGTAATCAGTTTTATGTTTTTTTTGCCAGTACTCTTAAAAATAAGTGACTAAGCGGTTCTAAACAAACAATATCAAAATTTTTTTTTCAGATTTGGTATCTGTACTTCGAAAAATTTGTAATGGTTTTTTGTTTTTGTCCCCACGATAAGAAATGTTTGGGTCCAATTTGATTCGAATTGGCTCCTTTTTTTGATTCGATTCATTTGAACTCAGCAACTGAATAACTTTCAGTTCACAAATTGATTTATTTTGAACCTTCTAAATATTATGCGAAATCACCACAATTTTAACGCTTTAGGTATTCAACTATCTCTTCGTAGAAACTACAGTTTTGACAGTGCTCGTCAGATGTTCAACTGGTAAACTAAAATCCCCTGGCATAACATGTCAGCTAATTCACACGCGGGTAATACTGTTAATCGGAAACATTTTACTGTAAAAAAAAAACTGAATCGAGGAAAAATTTCTAGTAGCATGCCTACCTTAACTACTAATTCTGGTCAACCAATACAGCACAAATGAAAAAACTTGGGCATAAAACCTAAAAATTTAATAATTTTTTCATGTGAACAATACAATCCATACCTGGTAGCCCTTGAGATATTTTAACCACACAATCCATAGGAAACGTTATAGTTTTTCCATCAAGAGTCGAATGTCCAATTGACGTGTCGTCTTCATTGAAGGTAACTTCTTCCAGGATTTGACCTATTCTAAGATCAATTTCACCGTCATTTTGCGCAGCATAGTCATTTATCACGCGGTACATGATGCAACAATTTTATGCTTTAAATTATGCTATAAAATTAAGTTAATAAGTTCGGAACTAAGTCACTTTGTCTATGATAAGTTTTTTGAATTCCGTTTCTGGTTGACAAAAACATCCATATGATCGGTTTGCTGACATAAGCTAATTCATAATTTGGGCTCAAATCGGTTGTTGACTTATTTTTGTTTTCAAATATTGCTGGGTACACATTCGCATTATAATTCGCTATCTTTCGTACACACCTTTTGTTTACAATCAAAACAAAACATTAATTTCTATTCAAAAGTAAACAATTTTGTTTGAATCTAAAGATGATGTTCCTAAAGAGCACTGAGTACTGAGCCTTCCAAATATTCCGAGATTTCTGAATGACTAAATTCTTCATCACGACTGGTTATTGCCAAATTAAACAGACTTAAAATATTAAACTTTCGAAAATTCCTCCCTAAATATAAATAATCCAGAAGAAATAAGTAGCTAAATTTGAATCCATTTGCCCCTTTTGAGATAAATTTATTCACGAGAACAAGCTCATTTAAAAATGAAACTGTATTAAATTATTAAGCTGTACGAAAATCAATACAAGGCATCGCATATATTATTGATAGAATTTTTCAAGTTCAATTTTGCAGCTATCATCGATAGAGCTCATCAGTTCGTCGTAATTAATACCAGAACTATTGCGTAACAGGGTCAACAGATTGCGTAATTCCTCTTTTAGTGATACAGATGATGTAATGCAACCTTCATTGAGCGACCTTTCTCTTATGTCATGTGCATTTTCCATGCTCTCTGAAAGCTGCTCTTCGTCTAAACAACCACATATTTTTAGGATATGTTTCTTTAAAACGCAAATAAAAATTTTTCTTCATCTATATTCAGCATGACAAAACGTGAACTAAACCCTATTCTCATTATTAAACCCCTCGTAGAGATGCTATAAAATTACAGCGCTGTCATCATAATTTTGGGTAAAATAACTTGTGGGAAAACACGAAATAAATTACAGGTGATGTTGCTGTAATTGAGTTTACGTTAGAATTTATTATGCTGTTTTATCACAATTTTTTTCTAGTGAGTTTACAGTTGTAAGGAAAACTTCACTTTTAGATAACTGCTGTTGCGTTATCCGATTGTGAATCATGGGCAATCTGTTATCTCTTGTGATTTATTCGGCTAATTTTCAGTGTTTTTGATACTAAATATCAGAGATTTATGTTGTTTCGCCTGATAATTCGATACACCATTAGTTTTTGCCAGTAAGTCCAAGATTAAAAATGACTAACGGATACTTTAAAAATGATATGATCGAAATTTTCAGAACAAATAATTTCACCTTGCATTATGACTTTTGGCGATTGAATCAAGAGCATGTCTGGTGCTCCAGTGACTGGATCCACCAGGTCATGCAGGCATCCGAGACACACGTAGAACACTTCAGCAAATCTCTCCTTCACCAGTTCTAGGGACGTGTTGTCCGGGTTCATCGTGAAAATAAGAGCAAGAGCTGTTAGTTTTCGTGTCCTCACGTCAACTATATCGTCTATGCAGTCACAAATAATACCGATCAGTCGCGACAACACTGAAGGCAGTGTTGTTTGGGACTCATGTGCATAGGCTAAAACAATGTACAGTCGGTGTCAGTAGTTAAATTTAATTTGTTGACACTAACACCATTTAATTGCTTAATTAACTGATGCTTCTGCGAACCGCAGAAGATCTCTGAAAGACTATCAGGCCTGTCTAAGCATAGTCCGTTTGTATTTTATGCTCTATGCAATAGAAATTTCAAAATGTTTTCATTTTAATATACACAACGTGTTGGTTCATCATTATGTTCAAACATGCAAAAAATTTCCGATACGAAAAAGTTGAATTATTTGAGACCAAGTGTGAGTTCGAAAAGATTCCTTATTCGAACTATTAAGTCAAATTTCAGTAGTGTTTAAAGAAGCATGGAAACCACAAAACTATTGCACACTTCTTCTACCTGTAAGGATTCCGACAAATAATTGTGATTTCTCCAGAATGAGTCTGGAGAAAAGAGCGATGAGATCAGACTGGACTAAAGAGGAGCAATCTTGGTCCAGAATTTCCTGCAGGAGGGTTCTAGTTAGTTCGAAGAAAGACTGAGACGACAAGCAGCTCTGGTCATTCGGCAGAGACACTTGGAAATACACCTGAAGAAAAAAAAACATTTTATTCCTCGTTCGGCTCAAAAATCGACTTGGCAGTTTTTAAACGAACGAGAAAATTCCCAAAACACAATTAAAAATTGGCGATGAGAAAAATACATATTTGACAGAGAAAATATTTGCTTTTTGTCTTAAAAAATTATCGTAAGAAACACGCGTCTACCTAAATACACTGTACCAACACCTTTAGTCGTATAAACATCTAGAAAGCTCAAGACGCCATTTTTAGAAATTAACATTAGCTATTTCAAGTCAGATTCTTTTAAGGTTCGTGTATAAATCATCCTGAATAATTTTCAATGCGTTTCTCACCTTAATAGTTTGTACCAACAAAATCATCAGGTCACGTGACGTGTCTCTGTACAAAGATAGCAAACTGGCGTTTACTTGATCGCCACAAAAGGGGTACAGCTTTGTTTTGAATAACACAGCGTAAGATGAAACTATCGGCAAAGCTAGCTGAACATATTCAGAGCCCAGTTCTAGACTCGGTAAAACTGCTGGCAACATTGTCAACAACTCTTCATTCAACTCATTTTGCGTATTTTGAACAAAACAGAGAAGCAAGTTGAGACCATCTTGCATCAAGTTAATACTCTGTTCGTTTTCTTGGTCAAGGCAAACACCTTCAACATATTTTACAAACGAAAACAACATATCACAATTCTGCTTCATACCCGAAACTATAAATCCCAGACAGTCAAGAACCGCAGATCTCAAAAATTGAAAACTAGCTGCTGCTGACGTATTCCACAGGTTCTGAAGCAGTGCTATGATATCATTGGCAAAAGGCGCGATGTCAAACCTGGTTCGATCGATTACTAAGGTAAGAGTAGCTAAGACCTTTCCTTTTGAGTCGCATTGTTCTAATTTATCGATCAGAGAATGTAGCGTTGAAATAAAGAAGGGTGTATGAGTTGTTATAGACTCAGGCAGCATGTCTATAAAATCAACCAAAGTATGGAGTGTCTTAGTTGCCGTTAGTAGGACCACCGCATCTTTTTCATTATTAAACTCATAAATTAAAAGTTTCGACAATCGGTCCAGCAAAGTTGCTGGGAAACCAACGTCAATCCATTGGTATAAAAAGTAACAGACCCGTCTTCGAACAATTTTCATTTCATCTATTTCAGTTTCGGCATAAATTAAACGCTCTAAAACCATGAATACGTCTTCCCCTAACGTCACTTGAGACGATACGTCATATAAAGCAAGACCAAAAGCATACAGAACTGCATCATACGCTAAGAGAGTCTTCAAATCTTGAGGCATGTTCCCAGAATTTGATCCAATCACACTCGAGTAAACGTCCAATACAACTTGATTGGTCAACTCTGTTTTCTGTTTAATCAAGGTCACGAAAAAGCTTCCCACTGCTGCACTTTTATTCGTCTGCCAACTTTCTCCCCCTGTATCCAGATCAATGAAGTAAGTTTCAGGGTCTTCGTTCCAGGATTCCACTTGATGGGCATCCATGATTAGGTAATGTTCTATGCAAATTCGGACGCAGGAGGTTAGGGTATCGTGATTCATTATTTCGTCAATGTTCTGTCTTGCCTCGACGGTCAGTGGGTGTTCTAAGTGTAGCAGTGTTTCTTTAGGCTGGAACTCCTACACACAATCAGAACAAACTGTTCAGTAAAACTAAAAGTTGCAAAGAAAGTTACAGCCAATAAACTGAAAGATTGTATGAAGTAAATTCAATTGCAAAGATATAACAAGGATAGGCGGTTTTTAAGTAAATGGTTTTTTCTAATAAAAGTCTTTTTTTTGTACGGGTTGTGATGAGAAAGCTAATTGAACGCATTGACATTTAGTGATTTAGACAAGTTGTCTAAAAAAGTTGTGGTAACTGATTTTTGACTCAAATCAGCATCAAACAAAATTTTTATAGTTGTAAATAAAAATCTACACGGTTTTGTGGAAAACATGAACTTAGTACTTACTTCGGAAAGAAGGATAATCTTGAACAAGTTCACTGCTTTCAATACAAATCGCTCCGACAACAGACCAATATTATCAATCTCAACGAAAAGAACCTGAATCAGCAACTTGATTGTCGGCCCCACGTATGTTGCGAAAGACATCGGATCATTGTAGACAAATTCATAGAACAATTTACACAGACATTCGGGTACTTTCTGTGTCACTTTATGCAGCAGAGATATTCTCAATGTGGAAGGAAGATATTCGGATAAGCATAACTGGATAAACTCGGTCACTTGCGGAAGTTCGCGGACCTTAGAAAACCCGTTAACCAGGAGCTTCTTGATCAATTTAAAGTTCAACTGAAGGTCATTTGATATCCTTTCCTTCAAATCTGAATTGTTCTAGAACAGGTGAAAATATTGTAGTGTACATAAAGCATAGAGAAACGGCTACATGGAAATTGGAACCCACACACCTATTTTTTAAGTTTGAATATTTTCCGAGGGTCAATCTACTTGACTCTAAGAACCTTAACTACCAGATGGGTGTCAAAAATATCTAGTTGAGTCAAATTTATACGGGGTAGTCATACTTGTCTTCTCCAAATCTTTTATCGGGTGAGATTTTTTTTTCAGGTCCCCTTTTTATGCTCTGAGCTATACTTGAGAACCAAAAAATTACACTCAATCCGAATTTAAATGTACTCGGCTTGATTTTTTAGATGAAATATCTTACATTGCTAGGTGACTGAATCAGACAACTATACACTCCGACATACTTCTCATAGTTAACTGCACACAGTTGTTTAAAAATGGGAAACGCCTCCGCCGCCAAGTTTCTAAACGCGGCCCTGTCAGCTGGCAATTTCTTCTGGGAGAGCACTTTGGTCACGTGATAGAGAAACAGCATGGCGTTGTTCGGACTCGAATCATCCTGCAATCCTAGCTCTACATTTCGAATTAGAGTTGGCAGTAGATCTGTCCATTTATCCGGGCAGTCAAACCTATGAACACTTTTCTTCACACAAACTACCAGTCAAACTCTCAAAATTCAATAATCAATATTACTACCAAGGCTCTAGAAAACATAGAACAGGTTCTGTAACCGGCGTAAACTTTGTTCTTCCTCTTGAATATGAGAGGGCGACCGTAGATTTCAAAAAAAAAGACCCAACTAAGTGAAAATTCACTCGGCTCATTCACAGGTAATGGGAATAAAAATTGCGGATAGACAAACATTCGAACAAACCTGGCTATTTTTGAGATAGTAACTGCAACTGGCATTCTGATTTTAGGATCTAGTTCCTTCAGCAAAACACCACTCAACAAACTCTCTTTGATCGCATTTTGTTCCTCTGTCAACCTTCCTCTCTCCTCTTCAGTGTAATTTCGCCTCCAAAACCTATCCACTGCGTTCTTCAGAGAAACAGCTGCCATCCATCGAATAATGAACGCTTGCTGGTCACCGAAAGCTGATACAAGATCTGTATTTAGATCAATTAAACTAAATACCACCCCAAATACTCACGAGAGGCTCAAACATGGCCTCAAGTGCCGCAAAAAAAAACTGAGTCCAAATGCAGAAAACAAAAAGTAGGAAGAAAATTTACTTACGTAGAACATATGATACACTTTAGTGGCTCTATAAAATTTGTGAAATTCACTTAAGATATTACATTGCTGCAATCGCACAATTTCGACAATTTTTTCTCCGCAAGAAGATCTAATTTAACAAAAAAAGTGCTGAAAATTTTGATACATTTCGAACGTTGTAATTTGTAACTGTCAGGAAAACTTCACCACTGTTGCGTAATTCAGTGTTACATTTTTCGGGCCATCTAAAAATGAAATGGATTCTATCAACCAAATCAATAAGTGGTCGATTACAGACTAGGGCACGCTCCAAGAGGGTTTTCATATAACCCTGAGGGTATCCACATTTAATTACAGGAAATGAAATAATATATTAGACGGCTGATTTTCGAAAAAGCTGCTATTTGTTAAGTTTCATATTTCTGTACTTTTTGTGTCTGATGCCGTTTTGAGTCTAAACTAAATTTCTGTTTGGCTACCAACATTGACTTGAGGTGATTCAAGTTTAACTGATCCCTTTATTTGAAACAACGTGGGCCAAACTCAGTAAGTACTCAGGTCTTTCGGACAAAACTGAGAGGCACTCTTCTCCCTTCTTCACATCCGCAACATCAGGCGAAGAAGACAACTTTAGCGCATTTACTAAATCTTCCATCGGCTCGAGGAAATGTTTCCGGGTCAAAAAATAAACATCAGATCATCTGAAAAATATATTTCAAAGTTTTGAGTCAGCGTTTTTGAATATATAGCACAATGAAACAGTATAAATATAGTAATTAGAAACGTACAAAAACAAATACGAAACCAACTAAAATTTACTGACCAAAAAATCATAATTCTGTCACCTTCAGCTGGAATGAAAAGAAATAGGATATGGCATTAAATTCTGATTATAAGCTACTACCGAGTTCATAAAAATTTATTTTCAAGAAAAATTTGAAACTTGATTAATAATTTTAAATCAATTCTGGAGACTGCACAATTATTAACCTGTCAGAAAGTTAAGCTAAACAAATTTGATAACACACAATCTCTGATTATCAGAGTAGTGTAAACTTAAATAGCTCATATATATAGTCACACCATCGGCATCCCTTGGCAAAAATATTAATCCTTTTATGCTCTTTTATTAGTTATTTTATTGTTTCAACCATTGAAAATGGGGAGGAACTTCGTATTCGGGAAATTTTCAGCTTTTGGTTTTCCACGCAAAATCAAGTGCCACAAATAATCATAAGGTTACCGGACAGGGTCGAGTGATATATCACATAACAGCCCTTCTAGTCATGATTCGAACTAACTAAACGGTGCTTTAAAAAGATGGTTGAACGTTGAAAGAGCTTCTCAAATCATGTACTAAACTAATTACTGCAACCGTGAAAAAGAACTGGGCTCATGTATGAGGCGTTTCTACTTCATAAAAAAACGCCACATCTCGGAAAAGGATTTGATCAGTCGGAGGGTAGATTTGCAACGCCGAATGTTTAATGCCACATCTCGAAAACCAAAAGGATTTGAGCAATAACATTTGGAGGGGAAAAACTGCAAAACCTGAGTGTACCCTGACTGCACCCGACCATAGGGTTGAGAATTCCAAGCTTCATTAATTTTTTTGTATCCAAGTTTTTTTGAAAAACAATAAACTCAAAAAATCATAAAAAATGGCATACTCGAAAACCAAAATAATTTGAGCAGTCATACTTGCAGGCTAGACTAACAACCTATGAGAGTACCTTGACAGCAACCCAGTACAGGGTTTAGAATTTCAAGTTTGATTAGTTTTTTATATCTATATTTTTTGACGAAAAATCATAAGAAAACGCCATATTTTGAATGCCGAAAAGATTTGAGCAGTCATACTTGGACGTCAGATTCGCGGCCTCTAAATTTATACTCTGGCCGTATCCCACTATAAGATTAAGAATTTCAAATTGGGTTAACTTTTATATCTGAACTTTAAGAAACGCCATATGATTTTTCTTTTTTTGGAGTTCAGATATAAAAATTAACCCAAATTGAAATTCTTAGTCCTATAGTTGGATACCGCCAGAGTATAAATTCAGAGGTCGCATATCTGACGTCCAAGTATGACTGCTCGAATCTTTTTGGTATTCGAAATATGGCGTTTTGAATTTTCGAATACCAAAAAGATTTGAGCAGTCATACTTGGACGTCAGATTTGCGACTTCTGAAATTATACTCTGGCCGTATCCCACTATAGGATTAAGAATTTCAAATTGAGTCAATTTTTATATCTGAACTTTAAGAAACGCCATATGATTTTTCTTTTTTTGGAGTTCAGATATAAAAATTAACCCAAATTGAAATTCTTAGTCCTATAGTTGGATACCGCCAGAGTATAAATTCAGAGGTCGCATATCTGACGTCCAAGTATGACTGCTCGAATCTTTTTGGTATTCGAAATATGGCGTTTTGAATTTTCGAATACCAAAAAGATTTGAGCAGTCATACTTGGACGTCAGATTTGCGACTTCTGAAATTATACTCTGGCCGTATCCCACTATAGGATTAAGAATTTCAAATTGGGTCAATTTTTATATCTGAACTACAATAAAAAAGAAAAATCATAAAAAACGCCACATCTCGAAAACGATAAGGATTTGAGCAAACAATTTGCGACCCCTGAGTGTACCCTGATACCACCCCACTATAGGGTTGACAAAATCAAATTATTTCAGTAAATTGTAAAACAAAAACCTTGATAGTTTTACGTTGCGAATAAAGGAAAAAACGTAAGAGTTAAAGCACTCGAGCTCCAACAAAATTTCGAACGCTGACTTGAGTTAACTTTTCAACCCTTGCAATAATTTGACCTTTTAACAGACCAACATAGGGCCTTCTTAGACATGTGCCAAATGAAATTTCTTAAGCGTTTTAATAAACGATTCAGATTAAACGTGCAAAAACACTTTCGTTAAAGAGACAAAAAACAATTAGTTGAAAAAATTTAACCATGCAAACATAGTTCTTTTAAACATGTCAACATAGGTACTTCTTAAACATGTGTCACATGAAACGCCGATTAAATAATAGATAAATAAAAAAGTTCAAAAATGTTTTCTACTGTCGAGAAAAACCGTTTTGTAATTTTTTATTTTTGATATGTTTTTAGCGAGTAACGTTTGTTATATATAGATATTAGAAATGTAGGATACAAAATTCTTGGTTTTATAAACGAGACGTTTCATTTAGCCCTTCTCTGGCAAAAAAATCTTCCTAAAAATATTTTAGTGCAAAATTTAAAAAAAGAAAAAACTCTTTTTCGTTTTTTAAATTTAATTAATTTTTGAAGACCATTAGACTCATTTATTCCTAATTCACTAAATTTCTACGCGTTCGTATATTTGTGTAACTGAAAATGTGGTCGGAACATTCTGTGCAACTTGCACAGGAACCGGCTACCCATGTTAATATCTTTTTTTTTTGTGATTTTCTTCAAGATTAAAAATTGATTTGGATTGTCATCTACGTCTGTAAATTCAGGGAAGCACCTAGCAACCCATATGGGTTCGTCAGCTGTCCTCTCATAGTTGCTAATATTTGATTGTGTTATGTTCAATAGTGTATAATTTCGGCGATGAGAAATTAATTATTCGTCGTCATCATCTAAACAAGTTTACTGAAGTAAATTGTAGTATTTTATTCCCACAAAGTTCAGTAGAGCCCTAATACTAACCCGATCGCTTGTCGAGAAGGGTACCCGCCAGCTTGCTCCGGCTAAACTTTATTACAACGTGGCTATCGAAACTGTGTTTTTCATGACAAAGTGGATCTGACGGTCCCACACAGCCGCAGTGTGAAGCAACCTCATCAATCAGTTCAGCGAAACCGTCGAGCAAAAAAATCGCAAACAAAAAAATAAAAGGTCGAAAGACTTGAACAGTCCGAGCGTGCAGAAGGGTGGAGCGAATCCCTCTACTGCGAGAGTTAAGAGCTCTTCTCTGATGATCAACAACCCTGAGGGTAAGACAATACAAGACAGCAACGTAGCAGGATATCGTGAAGCAGTCTAAAAACTCTTTGTTATGTTCGATGGTGTGATAAGTGACTGCGCTCAAGTCACATTTCACCTGTCAAGGTAATCGTAACCATATTTTAGCTGAAGCTTTAGTTTCGCTAATTTTGTAAAACTTGAATAAACATATTTATTCTGGGTGTTTGCTATTACTTAAAAACGGTTTTGTTTATTCAATGTTAATTGATACAGTGTATCTGATTAATCTGCTCTATCTATTTAAATTACTTATTAACTTACATTTTCCTTGAAATGTACATGTACCAAAATTGATTTTTTTTGTTTTTTTAATGCCATTTTGAAGCAGTATAACGCATAGAGTGTTGCTCCAAATGGTACCAAAAATAGTGTCAAAGTTCATGAGGCAACCCTGAATATCAAAGGCAAAATCTGAATCTAAGTGGTTGAGCTACAAACAGCCTCTAAAAACTGCTCAGAATCGAGAAAGCTGATTTCCCGGGATGACCTCCATAGACCGAAAATGCTAATCATACAATTTCATACACTTAGTCTATGGAAAAATGCTAATCATAGAATTTTCATATATGGAAATTGTATGATTAGCATTTTTTTCATATGATTTTTTGTAAAAAAAACGCTTTGAACAATCAATTCGACTTCTGGCAAAGCATTTAAGCGTTTTTTGGGCTGCTACAACTGAAAACTTTGACTTTTTTTATTTTTGTTTTTTGAAAAAAAAAACACTAGTCATACAATTTCCATAAATGAAAATTGCATGACTAGCGTTTTTTTAGAAAAAAAAACTATTTGAAAAAGAAGAATCAAAAACTCCAGATCGTAGATAGGTAAATCAGCACATCAATTTTTTGAACTTGATGTGAACTGTTTGCAATGACTCGTTTGTTTAAAATAGACTTTGTCAGGAATCAAAATTTTCAGAAAAAACACGGGTGTTTTTCCGAGAATCAATGACAAATCATGATAGGTTCTACTTCTAGAAGG